CATGTGATGTGGACAAAAAATGACCACGCCCATTTAGTGATTGCAATATGTACGTAATAGAAACCGCACCCCGAACTTGAGCTTTTGATCCCAATTTTTAAATTGATACATTGTAATATAAACCGCGGTTTATAATAGGACTTTAACGGTACAATCCATAACACTAGCATTTTTCTGTTATCAGAATTTCCTAGTTACCTGTTAAAGTTAGCCAGCCACCTGTCTACCTGTCATATTAGATATTCCAAATGAGTACAAAATTGATTGACAGGCAAAATTTGGACAAACCTGTCCAATGTTCATTGAAAATTACCTGTAAATTACAAAATAACCATAAACAATAATACAGCAAAAATGGCAATTGGAATTTATTGTTGCTGCATTGAAAAAAAATGTTTTTGTTATTGTATTTGTAGCAGATGTTGTTATAAGTTTTGAATTTCATTTAAGTTGAATCTCAAATCTGTAAAATTCAAAATTTATATTTGGGAATTTAAATTGATCTGCAGTAGGCAAGCCAAGGAGTGTATTATACTGTAAAACGGGAAATTTGCACAGTTTTATTTTCGCATTGTTCACTAAGGTGCTAAAATTAATTTAAAATGCTTTTGTTAGTCCCCGTTCGGACGCAGTTCGAAAACAGGGACTTATGTTTTGACCTCCGTGCGTGCGTCCTGTATCTTAGAAATGCCTGGACCAATCACAATCAAACTTCACACATACATCACACATGATATTATACATATGCACGTCAATTTGTTTAAAGATCTGATTTAAGATGGCCGAATGGCGGCCATTTTTGTGCTAAAAATCATCAAAATCAAGCATTTCCCAGCTGTTTATAGATGGATTTTGTTCAAATCTTGTATATACGTTTGACATTATAGGACCTTGATGCACAACATGTTTTACGATCTGATTTAAGATGGCCGAATGGCGGCCATTTTTGTGCTAAAAATCATCAAAATCAAGCATTTCCCAGCTGTTTATAGATGGATTTTGTTCAAATCTTGTATATACGTTTGACATTATAGGACCTTGATGCACAACATGTTTTACGATCTGATTTAAGATGGCCGAATGGCGTCCATTTTTGTGCTGAAAAATCCTAAAAGTCCAGCATTTCTCGGCTGTTTACAGATGGATTTTGTTCAAACTTTGTATATACATTAGACATTATGGGCCCTTCATGCAAATAATTTTGTTTTTCAGATAAGATTCAAAATGGCCAGCTGGCGGCCATTTTGTTTTAATGAATGTGGTTCTCGTGCCATATCTCTGACTTGTTTTGACCATATGATCATGTCATAGATAAACAGATATATTGGTTCAACGATCATATTTAAAATGGCCGAATGGTGGTCATTTTTGTGCTAAAAAATCATCAAATATCAAGCATTTCTGGCATTTATGGATGGATTTCAGTCAAACTTGGTACATACATTAGACATTACTGGTTCCTGATGCACGTCATTTTATTTGTCAGATTGGATTCAAAATGGCTGACTGGCGGCCATTTTGTTTTAATGATTGGGCTTCTAGAGCCATGTCTCTTAAATGCTTTGACTGATTATGTTCAAATTTTATATATTCATTATAAATCATGTTATATATATACATATATTCAAAATAATTGATTTTGAATGCTGTTCCAGAGCAATATCTCCCAATATGGACAAGTACTTGTTTGACGATCAGATACAAATGTCAATCATTTTAATGTTAAAAAATCATATTTCTGACATGGTTATATTCCAGCTATATTACTATAAACAAAACTATATATCTTAAATTTGATAACTAACTGGGACTGTGCCATGCATGGCTTGTTTTGTTTGTTTTTATTTTAATTTCGCCACTGTATTTTTGTATTACTGCCGATATACACAACACTCCGCATTCACATCATTCAAACAGTGAAAAACAAATTTAACATTTAATGTTTTCATTAAAAAAAATGTATTTGCAGTCAACAAATTTTTTTTTTTACACAAATAGTAGTTAAAAACTTGAAAAATACTTTGTATTATTATCTTTACAGCACAACGGCCGCTTTAGAGATTTACCAGTTAGATTTGGGAGATCCTGAAACCGAAATGCCGCTAAAAGCATCGCTGACAACAGAACATAGGTAAGAAATATATAAAATATGTAATAGTGGCTGTGCATTGTCACATGATATGACAAGTATTTATTCAACCCTTTCATCAACCCAAAATTAATGGACCCCAACATTAATGGACCCCAACATTAATGGACCCCAACATTTTCTTCAGCTATGATCTTTAACCCTTTGAATGCCATTGTTTTTAGTGCAAACTTTTTGCCAAAAAGGGTAACATAATTTGACTTTATGAGTCAAATGTGCATTTCTGTTGCTATGGCGATGTTTTATTTGTCTTGTTAATTTTTAGTCCCCGTTTGGACGCAGTCTGAAAACGGGGACTTATGTTTTGCCCTGTGTGCGTCCGTGCGTCCGTGATCACCTGTATCTCGAACATGCATGGACCGATTAAGTTCAAACTTCACTCATACATCACACATTATATGGGACATATGCACATGCATTTTTTTCATGATCCGATTAACGATAGCCGAATAGCGGCCATTTTAAGGCCGAAAATGCATCAAAATCGCACATTTTCACCATTCCGGACCCGGATCTCAGTTATGCATGGACGGATTTTGTTCAAATTTGGTACATACATTAAACATAATAGGACCTTGATGCACGTCATTTTTTTTTTTGGATCGGGTTCGAAATGGCCGACTGGCGGCCATTTTGTTTTAAAGAATTCAGTTCTGGATCCGTATCTGAGACATGCTTGGATTGATCGAGTTCAAACTTCACACACACACAAGGTACATCATGTCACAAATATGTATGTGCATTTGTTTCATGATCTCATTAACGATAGCCAAATGGCGGCCACTTTAAGGCCGAAAATGCATTGAAATCGCACATTTTCACCATTCCGGACCCGTATCTCAGTTATGCATGGATGGATTTTGTTCAAATTTGGTACATACATTAAACATAATAGGACCTTGATGCACGTCTTTTTTTTTCGGATCAAGTTCGAAATGGCCGACTGGCGGCCATTTTGTTAAAGAATTCAGTTCTGGATTCGTATCCAAGACATGTCTGGATTGATCAAGTTCAAACTTCACACACACATGGTACATCATGTCACAA